ATTTGCATAGCGCTGCGTGCGCGTGGCTTTGCCGAGTGATCTCCTTCTCAATAATACCACTTGACTTTTGCACTGCGCCACTTGATTTTTGTACTGTGCCACTTGACTTTTGGCGATATTGTATGGAACGCCAATTTGGAATGAACTCATTTTTACTAGGTCTATATTATTATTATTATTATTATTATTATTATTATTATTATTATTATTATTATTATTATTATTATTATTATTATTATTATTATTATTATTATTATGTCCCCGACGAGAAAGAAATAATATCTCCCGATAGGGGACCTCGGCCCACGTCGGAAAAATCCAAACTGCCACCCCTCAATCAAACTGTATTTAGACAAAGATAAACTATAAGACAATAATTCCATACACATACTAGATAAATAAAAAATAAGTAAAACTAGTTTTTGCGCAGACTCATTGCCATATAAGGAACAGCTAATCGAACACAGAGAGTTCATTTTAGTGGCACTTACGGGTATCATGGAAAATACAAGTGAAGCTGGGCACTCACTGCGTACGGCGGTCGTATCCAACTCCGCTCTCTGTGAGTGCTGGATGGCACGACGCCGTCAGCTGATTGTCGATGGCAGGTTAAAAAACGATCCGTCGCTGCGCGCGCGTTGTGACGTTGCGTTCTCCATAGAGACGGCCGGCGGGCGCAGTTACATTATCCTCTTCATGCTGATGAGCACAAGGCAGCAACAAATGTTTTCCATTGTCCTCTGTCCTGGGCCAGCCATGATATTTCATTGGTTGATTCACTTCGATTGGCTGTGTGCCAGAAAATGATCTTAACATCGCTTTGCATTGGTATAAAAGTTATACACGCACCGACCCCCTCTCACATTTGCAGTAGTAACAATGAATCGTAGACAGGTAGTAGTTATAGCTGTGGTTGCTGTGGTGGTGGTGCTTGGTATAGGTATCGGTATCGGGGTACTTATTGAAAGAGAGAGGGCAGTAAACCCAGAGGCACGACAAGCAGATGAAGCAATGAGTGATCGAATAATGAACGAGATTAACTTGGATAATATCCGGACAAATTTAAAGTGAGTATAACATTTAGTTTGTATGCTTTACAGTAATGTTTTATAATTATTGTTTGTTTATAACCAGTGCTGTTCCGCGACGCATGTGCAAGGTTTGGAAACCATTTTTTTTTCTCTGGCTCAATTAAGGACCTTAGAAGGTCCCAAGTTTTATGGAACCCGGTTGGTACCTTTTTTACACTCGAAAGATTCCTCTTCTGTAACATTATATATATGTCCTATATAAAGGCCCTTATATTACCGAATCATGGTTTAATTTAGTTCAGGGCTTATCTCTTTATTGTATCATTTTTCACAAATTATATTTTCGTCTCGCTTAAAGTGCGTAAGAGGACTTAACACGTAACATTATTTGCGGTCTCGAAAAACTAGTGTACAAAAGAGCAAGATTAACTTATTAATGCGCTATCAATATTTTGACTTCCTGTGTTATAAAAATTGTTGCCAAACCTTTGAGTGAATTAGTTCAGAGACTCAGCATACAATCCATCTTATAAAATTGATTTACATCGGGTTTTTTTTTCACAGAACTCTTACTGCAAAACCACACGTTGCAGGTACAGCGGCCGATTTGTCTGGGGCCGAGTTTATACAACAGACCTGGTTAGACCAGGGCCTCGACATTGTCAACATTTTACCATACAATGTACTGCTTCAGCACCCACCACCCCCTACATCACCAGACAGGAACAAGGTAAATTGCTGCCAGTTTAAATACAGAATGTTTATGATGTACATACACACACCCACATTTGACTTTCGTAAAACATGATATTAGATTTTCACGAATACGTGGATTGCACCTGTGAACTTCTTTAACGTGACTGTCCTACCTGAGTTCATAGTCTCTACTCATGTTTTTGGGTCCGCGCAAGGCGCTGACCCCTGAGCCCAACTGCTGTTCTTGTAATTCTTGTTTTTGTTCTTGTTACCAACATTTTAAAAGCGTCCAACGTCGCCAGTTTTGAACGGACGTGCAGGAAATTTTGTACACAAACTAGAGGTGATTTCCAACCAACGTTCATCGCCCTTTTTTTAGTTGGCCCCCAGGGGGATTTTTAGCAAGGACTGTACATTACTGCCATTTACCGCCAATAGGGGACGTCGAGTGGATGGCGCGGTCGGTTAAGGATGTGTTCTAAAGATGTTAAGGTTGTGAGTTCGAAACTCGTCTTTATATTCAATTTTAAGAAGATATTTCAATTTTGTACAAATGAACATTCTAAAGGATATTTTTTTGTACAAATAAACATCCCTATTGTTTAAACATTTCTATCTTATTAGCTCTTCCAAAAAGCCAAATGTAATAACTTGCGCGCCTGTACCGTATTTAAGCGTGGAGGAACGCGCGGACAAGCCTATATAAAACAAAAATATTTCCCCCTTCTCATTCTTTTATCGTGTCTTCATTTCCAGAGATATCCTCAACGGTGTATTCAGTGGCGTCTCTATAGGGTTTGCGGAAGGCGCACGCATCCCAACAAATCTCACGCCCCCTCAGTTGCTCCCCTACACCGACAGAAAATTTTCGGAGTAAAAAATTACGGTCAAGTAGATCTAATACCCACCTTATTTTGCCAGCTAGCCCCTCACTTTATCATCGGAGCCACCCACATCACCTTGCTCCCCCACACAAATCTAATTGAAAATACCAGGGAGTGTTAGGTATAACCAAATAACGAAATGATTTAATTTTGCTGACGGTCCGTAGTAGGATGTGGATGTGAGGACATTTTAAAGGGATTTAAGAGCAAATGTCGTAGACAAGATATAAAAAAAAAAATCAACTGATATGAATGAAATTTTTGTGAAACTTTAACCAAGTTACTTACTTACTTAAGGCCTTCGCTCCTCCAGGAGCATATCCCACTGACGACTTCTCTCCATCGCAGTCTGTCCTGTGCAGTCCTTTCAAGTTGTTCCCACGTGTAACCTGTCTTCTTTGTCTCTGCCTCCAGGGCTCTCCTCCATGTGTTGTAGGGGCATCCCCTTCTCATTTTGCTCTGTTAGTTCTACCGTAGGGCGTGTCTTGTGATGCTTGCTGGTAATTTTCTAAGTGTGTGTCCGATCCACCTTTATTGTCTGGCAAGGACATCATCTTCCAGTGGCCTTCGGCTTGTTCGTTTCCAGAGTTCTGTGTTTTAACTGTCCTGCCATCTGATGCGAAGGATTCATGTTTGCCTTGTTGCCACTGTGTGTAATATATAACACAAATTTTATAGGAAAAAAAGCATTAACGTCACTATTAATTTATAGTGGTCTTTGATTGGGAGGGGAAATTTTCAGGGTCCGGCAAAACCATGGTATTTGGTCTCTAAAAAAATGGAATCTTTAATTGAAGGGAACAGCTAATGATAAAAGATAAAAATTCAACCGGGGCCGCAGAAATGTGGTCTTTAATTGGAGGTGGTCGTTAATTAAAAGGGTTTTTAATTAGAGGGAGACCTGTATAATCCAAATTATTTGAATGGAGTACAACAAATTAAATTTTGTCCGTTGCTCACAATGCACAATGTCTGTACAGACATGGATATTATTGTAATATTTTACTTATATTACATATTTTAGTATCTACTCAACTTTGACTAAGTCAAAGTCAAACAAAAGATGAGCCTGGCTTGATAATATTATCATTATTAACATCATGAGCGCCATTATCATAATTGTCAGCGGTAAATGTTAAGTTTATCTTGTGCTAAATGCTCCTTCAGTGGAAGGCTCTTTAGGCATAAGGCAAATCGATGATATATAACATCAATGAGGCGTTGGGTAAGATAAATGGCCATACAATTTTGGTCCGACGACTGTGATTTAGCCATGTTACATTAACGTGAGCAGCTTTCGGTGAAATAAAGGCCCTTAATGATGCGTAAAAGGGAGAAAACCTACAGTTTGCAGGCCTACAAGAGGAAATTAGTAACGAAGAATTGTGAATTGTCGGTGACATCTGTATTATTTTTCTTAACTCTGTCAGTGCTAGGTATTGATTAAATCCATTGTTCCGCAACCTATGGGTCGCGGAAAATTTTTGATGGGTCGCTTATTTCTTCAGGTCGTGGAAAATGTACTTAATACGAACATACGAACAAGACAAACCAAGTCAAAATTATTTGTAAACAAACGTGCATGAAACTGTGGCATATGCGTCATTTTACTTTCGTAATGCGTGCATTATCAATAATTTCATGTTCAAGAATATACTATTAAAACATTTGTGTGGTAAAACGTCTGTAAATCATTGATTTTTTCGATCTGTAACTTATTGAAAGATTTGTTGACATAAACATTTCTTAATATTTTCGGTGCTATAGTTTAGTCGAATAGGCCTACCCTTCAAAGTAGGCCTATGTTAAATATCAATAATAATCATTAGTAACACGTATGAAAACATACTTTGAGAAT